TGATTTTTAGGAGCTTGTTGCATATTCTTTATGCTAAAACGTTGTCAATTATATGCTATGCAAATACCTTCGGTCAGTCTTGGTTTTTTAACTTTCCTGATGGTACTTTTTAATTTACTTGAATGTATTAATTATGATTTGTGCTTTTTGTTTGTTGTTCTTTTTTCTAGAAATCACTTCTTGCCCTGATATTATAAAATGTTGTTCTGTGTTTTCCAAAACTTTCAAAAATATGATTTTTCAAATAAAATTCTGAAGAACCCTTGAGCATGTGTGTGCAATAGTGTAAGACAGCTATTACTTTCTTTCACATCCATTCATTTATTTTACCTTTTCGTCAATCTACTCTATTCGTAGAGTAGACACTACCAGAACTGACAGGTAAAACAAAAACCTGAAAATATATTTCATAGACCCAAGACCACAGAGCTTGTCAGTGACCAAGAAAATCAAAGTGAGCATCTCCACCTGAATATGCCCCAGGCATTTCCATTGTATCAACATGTAAATCTGAAGCCTTATCTTATCTTCACTCCTCACGCCACCTCCCCGCCCACACTGCTCCTGTTCCTGCGTTCAGGTGTAGTCATGGGTTTTATCAGCTGGGCTGCGGCATCAGCCATGGAGATGGTTGCACACTGGACTTCCTGAAAGCTGGGTGGGCACCCTCCCCAATCCCCAAGCAGAGATTAGAATATAATCAGTCTGGGTGAGGCCGGGCACTGATAGCTCCTAAAACTCCCCAGATGATTTTAACATGAAGCCGGAGCGGTTAACCTCTAGATCAGTGTCTTGCCCCCACTCCCACCCCTGCATATTTGGTAATACCTGGAGAAGTTTTTGGTTGTTTGCCTCCCCAGCACTCCCCAGGAGTGCTACTGTCATCTCATGGCCAGAGGCCAGTGATGCTGTCCAACCACCTACCATGCTCACAATGCCAAGCCCCATAATCATTAAAGAAAGAAAGCATTGACAGCCGAGGTTGAGAATTGGACCTAGCGTATGCTACCTCCACCCTTGCGACTCAAAATGCTGCTCAGCACCAGTGGCATGGCAAGGACATCACCAGAGAACTTGTTAGCCATGAGGAATCTCTGGGTCCTCCCCAGCCCTTCTAGTCAGAATCTACACTTGAACAGGAACCCCAGGTAGCTCAGGTGCAGGTCACAGTTCGAGAGGCCTTGCACTGGGCAGCTTCCCCCATCTCCCCTTCCCCCTGCAGGTCTAATCAGATAACACATCCTGTCAGCACTATATCTTTATTCTATCTGAAATTGTCCTGACCCATCCATCCCGAGGACAACTTTATCGGCCCAAGACTTCATCTGAAGTATTGCAGTAACCTTCCAATCTGACCACCCTCTTCTGTCCTAGTCAAGCTCCTTACCCTTCTGAGAGTTATGACATATTTTAAGATGAAAGAACATAAGCAAACCTTCCCAGGGGAAAACGCACACATGCACACACACCTACCCACCCTCACATACTCCGAACATGTTGTACGCAATTTCAAGAGCTTCGCATAGCTTCTAATGTGCTCCTCAGACCCCTCCAGGCAAAAATCTCCACCTTAGTCTCTGAGAAAACAGATGTGAACTTTTGGGTCTCCTCTGAAAGCCCCAGCTCTATGGTGTGGGTACCCAGGCCCCCCCACAATTCCTCTCCACCACCAACAGCACAGCCTACACCAGCCAACCACATTCATGGCAGCTGCCTGTGTGCAAGTGCTCTGCCCCACCCCAGAGTTAAGCAGATGCTGTTCCTCCTGCCTGCTGCACCCTTCCTTCCAGGGTTGCCTGGCTTAACCCTGCTCCCACTTCGGGTTAGGTTCCCTTTACTTGTGATCTCTTAGTTCCCAGAGCTTCCGTCTGCCACAGCACTTCCTGAAGTATATTAGAGGGTATGTGTGCATGTGTGTATGTATGCGTGTGTGTGTGTTTCTTACAAGTCTCTCATCACATCTGAGACAGGAAAGGGTATCTTTCATCATCTGCATTACGCCTGTAATCCCAGCATTTTGGGAGGCCGAGGCGGGTGGATCACGTGAGGTCAGGAGTTCGAGAACAGCCTGGCCAACATGGCGAAACACTGTCTCTACTAAAAGTACAAAAATTAGCTGGGCATGGTGGTGGACACCTGTAATTTCAGAGTTTCATCTCTGCAACTTCAGTTCCTGACACAAACAGAAGCTCATTAAAGGTTACTAATAAATGTAAAGGAACAATAAAGCTAGCATTATTTCTACTCTATCATATTGCTTTCCAATGTATGCTTTGGTAGCTTGGCATTTTCTCCTTATTAATAAGGTATAATGCCTTATTTCTTAGTCAGGCATTATACTCAGCAAGTATGAGTGTTCATGCTTTTAAAACACAATTTCTTATATTCCTGAAACATAAGTAAAAAAGATTAAAGGTATGATCACAATAAATGAGTGAGTGCCTAGGTGTCCCCTGGGTTCTGAAGAAACGTACCCCAAGATCTATGCTCCCATAATATTCCCTGCAGAAGCTCAGCCCTGACTGCAGTATGTCTTTCTCTGGGAATTCACAGCCATTCTCAGCTGATTATGGGAGATGAGAATCTAGAAACAATTTCTATGTTTGAATGTCCAGTTGAAAGAGTTCATTAAGGACATAGATCTTGAATTTGAATAAGAGATAAAAGCTTTAAAGCTAGGAATGTTTATCACTGAAAACATTTTAATATACCTGCAGAGATTACAAACTAGTGTATTATGTTTATTTTAAAGGGATAAGAGCCTCCCTAACACCAGGTCACCGGTTTTCAGGTAAAACCAGAATTTACAAACTCACCATCCTCATTTAGAGAAATGTTGGGAAAGATGCTTAATAAGAATAGAGCATATTCATTAAAGAAAAGTCTTTTACAAACAAATAACGTTAAAATATTTTACAGCCATGTTGTTTCATATCTTCTACTCTTTTGCAATTACAACTTATTTCTCTCTGCCTTCCAAAACAAACAAATATGAAATGTCGTTTGCTTTTAAGGTGTCACCTCTTTTTTGCTTTGATTTAGTGCTCTTTGGCCACAAGCCCACTGGCCCCAAGCCACATCAGGCTCCTCTGCATTGCCTTGGAAGGGAAGGATTTGGCATTGCAGCGCAGGAAGCCTGCTCTGGCCAGCGTTCCCACAAAGTGCCCTCTGAGTGGCAGCTGCCATCTGTTCGGCTTTCTCTCCTTAGACAGGGCAGGTCCTAAGGATGCCCTGTGCCCCTTTTCCCAAGACAACCCCCCTCCCCCAAGACAAAGGCTCTGTCCACACTCCCCAGGGAAACAGGGTAGAAGGGCAGATCCTTCTCAAGGACCAACATAAAGGAAACAGCAAACAGCCTACATATTTGAAAGTGTTAGCAAGGTCCTGTCTGAGGAAAACAACAACTAACAAAACAAAACAAAACAAAACAAAACAATCCTCTTCTCTTCCAAACACCCTTAAGTCCTCAATCCTAGAATCATTTCCTCTCTGTCCACATGAGTTAGAGCTGCACTGAATTTGTCACTGCAGACAGGCAAGATAACAGAGAAAAACAAGTCAGCAGACACCAACCAGTAAACTTTTGAGGCCTTACATAAAGAGAATGTTCTGCTAGTGTCTGGGGTTGGTACACCTGGTTTGAGATCGGTTCTTCTACTTACTGGCTCTATGTCAAACAAAACACAGAATCAATCTCTTTGAGCATTCATTTCCTCCCCTGTAAGATCAGAATGGAGATTAAAAATAAAACTTATCTCACAATAGCCTCCCTCATACTCTTCTTTAATTCAAGGAGAAATTTTGCTTGAATTATCAGAGTAAAATTTTACAATGTCCGGCCAGGCGGGGTGGCTCGCACTTTGGGAGGCCGAGATGGGTGGATCACCTGAGGTCGGGAGTTCTAGACTAGCCTGACCAACATGGAGAAACCCCATCTCTACTAAAAATACAAAATTAGCCGGGCATGGTGGCACATGCCTGTAATCCCAGCTACTCGGGAGGGTGAGGTAAGAGAATTGCTTGAACCCAGGAGGCGGAGGTTGCAGTGAGCCGAGATCGCACCGCTGCACTTCAGTCTAGGTGACAGAGCAAGACTCTGTCTCAAAAAAAGAAAGAATCCATGGCGTACAATTCAAATCTGGTCAATAAAGCATCGATACAACACTTCACAAATGCAAAAACTTCTGCATCCAAGGATCTATTCACGTCTCAGGCTCTGAGGTCAATTATTCCCTTCCATTAAACAACTTCCTGTTTTGCTCTATAGTATCCTTTATCACGCTGGACTCTTTACACTATTTTTGTTCTGCTTTTTTTCTACCCGCAAAATCATTGCACCTGAACAAGAAACTGATTTGTTTTTGAATCGGGTTTTCTCACAGAATCAGTGACATAAGAGGATTAATTGTTTGTTTTCAATCTTTTTTCTCCTCCTAGATCTATTTTTAAAACAAATTTTATTTTGGGATGTCCTGACTGGGATGATACTAAATTGAAAAGCCTGGTGCAAATTTTATTGACCTCCATTTCCTACTATAAAGGATGTCCCCTACTAATCTGTCATCTACAGGGCAGACAAAGGCCAGAGGCCAGGGAAGCCAAAACAGATGGTGTGTGCAAGAAGCACAGGACCAGACTCTTTATGTTTTGTTGATTGGTTTTAAAATAGTCAACTAGAAGATAAAGGAAAAAACACAGGGGCATTTTTCTTCTTATTCCAAGCTGTGCCAAACTAAATGTTACTTGCAATGTGCATGGCAAACACAATGCCTACAGATAGATTTGTAATCAATGTTTCTTGGGTATGATAGAATTCGAATGGATGGAAAGATGGATGGATAGTTGGATAGATGGGTAGATAAATAAATGAATGAATGAATATTATTAAAGGTTTTGTTTAAAACATGCCCAGAACACAAAAAGACAAAAGTTATCACTTAGAAAACTCTATGAATTACAGGCCAGTTGTTCCGCCCGCTGGTCCTCACGCCCTCTCCCTTGCCAGTGTCCTGCTCGCCATCCCCGCCATGCTGTCTCTAGACTTTTTGGATAATGTGCCGCAGATGAACAAGCGACAGCTCTATTATCAAGTCCTAAATTTCGGAATGATTGTCTCATCGGCGCTAATGATCTGTAAGGGGTTAATGGTAATAACTGGGAGTGAAAGTTCAATTGTAGTGCTGCTCAGTGGCAGCATGGAACCCGCATTTCACAGGGGAGATCTTTTCTTTCTAACAAATCGAGTTGAAGATCCCATACAAGTGGGAGAAACTGCTGTTTTAAGGATAGAAGGAAGAAGGATTCTTACAGTTCACCGAGTCTTGAAGATTCATGAAAAACAAAATGGGCATATCAAGTTTTTGACCAAAGGAGATAATAATGCGGTTGATGACCCAGGCCTCTATAAATAAGAACAACATTCGCTAGAGAAAAAAGATGTCGTGGGGAGAGCCAGGGGATTTTTCCTTGTACTGGAATTGGGACCATCTTCATGAATGACTATCCTAAATTTAAGTATGAAGTGCTCTTTTTGCTGGGTTTATTTGTGCTGGTCCATCATGAGTAAGAAGTCTGCCTTGCTGTTCCTGGGAAGATGCCACACTTTTCCTTACTGGATGTTTGGAGTAGATATTGGTTTGTGATTGACGGAATGGAGAACACACGTGCTGGCACTTCTTGGTGGCACTGGTTTGCGTTAGTTTATGTTTCCACGCCGGAGTTAGTGTGGGCGGCCGCATGTGCACCAGAGAGTGCATTTGAGGGGACTTTCATTCACGGGATTTCATAGCTGTCATTGTCACACTTTCACATTTTTGTACACCAGTGAATTTTTTATATTAAAAGCTTGAGCCAGAAAAAATAAAGTTCTATGAATTACAAAGTGAATGCCTCCCTACTTTTCAGAGATTAACAATGTAAAATTTTATCCATATCCTTCCCTATTTTGTCATATTTTAATATTTTTATTGTTTTATATTATTTATCTATTTATTTATATATCATTAATTTTTTCCCAAATTACAATCACCATTGTCCATGGTGATCTACATCTCATTTTTTTCACTTATACATCAAGAATATTTGTTCATGTCAGTGTATAGAGATCCATGTTGTTCTTTAATGACTACATGATATTCTGTCATATAGCCATACTGTAAGTGATTTAGTCAGACTCTTATTGAAAATTAAATTGTGTTCAATCTTATGCCATTACCACAATACTGCAACGTACTGCCTCATATATATATTACTTATGTCACTGACCATCTGTATTTTTTTAAATTGTTAATATGCCTTGTTATTTTCTGTATTGGTTTCTTTGTCAATTTTTTTTTTTTTTTTTTTTTTTTTTTTTTTGAGACAGGGTCTCACTCTGTCTCCCAGACTAGAGTGCAGTGGCACAATCACAGCTCCCTGCAGTGTCAATCTTTCAGGCTTACGTGATCCTCCCACTTCAGCCCCACTGAGTAGCTGGAACTGCAGGCACGCATCACCATGCCTGACTGATTTTTTTTATTTCTTGTAGAGACGAAGGTCTCACTATGTTGTTCAGGCTGGTCTCAAACTCCTGAGCTCAAGCAATCTTCCTGCCTCAGCCTCCCAAAGTGCTGGGATTACAGGTGGAAGCCACCACACCTGGCATATTTTTTCTTTACAGAAACTCTGCACATTAGAAATTTTAACATTTGTCATTCGTATGTGTGGCAAATATATTCTCTCAATCTGTTGCTTGCCTTTTAACTTTGTTTTTGGCATCCTTCACTGTTTAATTCTTTTAAACTTTTCTATTGTTAAATTTAGTTTTTCCTTTATTGCTTTTTCTTTTCTAAATAATCCTGAAGAACCTTCCTCAACCCCAAGTTTATAAAAATTATATCTATTCCTGATAATTATACCTTTTATGATTGAGACATTTAATGCTGATTTAATATCCATGTATTTTACCAAATCCCAACCTTTTTCAGAATTAAATTACATGGATGTGACTCATTCTAGCCAATGAGATGTCGGCAGAGGTGACATAGGCAGTTCTATGTCATTTTTATCCCGATCATGAAGACCCCTGTGTGAACCTTTACATCTCTCTTCCGCTTCAGCAATACACCTTGAAACAAAATGGTTCAAATTTTGTGGGAACAAAATGGAAGCAACCTTGATCCCTGAGTCACCACATGAAAGGAAGCTTCCCTTGAAGAGTCTCCAGGCTCACTTTAGACTTCACATAATCAAGAAACTTTCCTGGCTGGGGGTGGTGGCTCATGCCTGTAATCTCAACACTTTGGGAGGCTGAGGCAGGCAGATCACCAGAGGTTAGGAGTTCAAGACCAGCCTGGCCAACATGGAAAAACCCTGTCTCTACTAAAAATATAATAATTAGCTGAGCATGGTGGCATGTGCCTGTAATCCCAGATACACAGGAGGCTAAGGCAGGAGAATTGCTCAAACCCAGGAGGTGGAGGTTTCAGTGAGCAGAGATCATGCCACTGCACTCCAGCCTGGGTGATAGAGTGAGACTCAGTCTCAAAACAAAGAGAAAAAAAAAGAAACTTTCCTATGTTAAGCTACTGTGATCTTAAGATATTTTTGCTGTTGCAGCATAGTTAACCTAGCAATGTTTTTTCTCTACATTTAGAAGTTTACTTCATCTATAAGTTATATTTATATTGTGCAATGTGAGAGTAAGTTTGTTTGGTTTTTTTTCCCCAAACTACTGTCTTTATCATAATATTAAACTGTTTTAACTTAGAATCTTTTATTTATTTATTTATTTTGGATGGAGACCACTCCTTCAATGATTAGATGAGCTATAAGATGGAAATAAATATTTGACTACTTACGGATTCAGGGGGTACACAGCATGCCTGGAGGCCACACACACACACATGCATTGCGTACACACATACACACACAGAGGTCAGGGAGTGTGTGGAGAGAGGGATCCATGGGCCAGTCCCTTTATTGGAGTCCAGGACATTATTCAAACAGATGTCCCAAGAGTTTTAGTTAGTGGGTTCAAAGCAGCAGGCACAAATTCCAGGTCACACTGTGACTGAGAGGTGATCACTGTAGCACATCTGCACAGTCTATGTAGGATATGGGAGTCAGCAGGGCCAGTCAGGTAGGTTGTATCCAACTGTCTCATAGGGAGGGGGTTACCAGGAGGCAGTTGTATAAGACAGATAGCTGGATCAACAACACTGAGCAACTGGGTGTGACAGTTGGGGGAGCATAGAACTGGAAACTGTGTCAAGACAGACTAACTCTGCTACTGATAAGAGAAAGTTAAATGTTCAAAATGGATGTTCAGGCAACATAAAATTATAAGATTCACTGCATAAACCCACATATATCAATGTGTCTGTTTCTGCATTCTCTCTTATGTACCACTGATCTATTTATCTATCTCTATACCATTACCCAACCACTTTTATTTAAGTAATTATGTATTATCTTAGGGAGCAAATTTCCCCTTCTGATTCTTCTTTTCAAATACTAACTTCCTTGTTACAAATGAATTTTAAAACCAACTTGTCTATTTCCCAAAACAATTCACTGGAATCCTAATCAGATGTTCATTATCTTTGTAAATTTACTTGGGAAGGAACAGCATCTGTATGTTATTTAGTCTTCCTCCCATGAGGAGTTATTGGTCTGCATCTTTTATTTTACTCCTATTTTATGTCCTTTAATGAAAAAATACATATATAGTGCTCTTTGTAAGTTAGATGTTTTACAAACTAATTTGACAATATCTTGAATGTGATTTCTCCCATTTTAATTTCTAATTGTTCAATGCTAGCAAAAGAAAGTAATACTTATTTCTGTATTCCACCTTATATAAAGCCATTTTTAAAAATTTAATAGTCTAACAGTCTGTAAATTTGTTGTTGTTGAGACGGAATCCCTCTCTGTCACCCAGGCTGGAGTGTAGTGGCATGATCTCAGCTTACAACAATCTCCACCTCCCAGGTTCAAGTGATTCTCCTGCCTCAGCCTCCTGAGTACCTGGGACTATAGGCATTTGTTATCACACCCGACTAATTTTTGTATTTTTAGTATAGACGGGGTTTTGCCATATTGGCCAGGCTGGTCTCAAACTTCTGGGCTCAAGTGACCTGCCCAACTCGGCCGCCCAAAGTGCTGGGATTACAGACGTGAGCTACCTCACCTGTCCCAATCTGTTGAATTTATTAGATTTGTAGGTATATTGCCATATCATCTACAACTGATAAATGTGTTTCTTTTCTTCCAATGTCATTTTCTTGTATTCCTGGTTTACTTAAAGCTTTTTAAAAAGGGATTTAGGGGCCAGGCCCAGTATACTTGAGTTAATCTGTTCAGGCTGCTAACAGAATACCATAAATGGGATGGCTTATAAACAGCAGAAATGTATTTCTCATCATCCTGGAGGCCGGGAAGTCCAAGATCAAGGCATCAGTAGGTTCAGTGTCTGGTGGGGACCTGCTTCATACACTGCTGTCTTTTTGCCTTTTCTCTGTGTCCTGACAAAAAGGAGAAAGAGATTTCCCTGGGGCCTCTTTTATAAGGGCATGAATCCCTTTCATGAGGACCTCACCCTCATGATGTAATCACCTTTCAAAGCCTTACCTCTAAATACCTTCACATTAGGGATCAGGTTTCAATACGTGGATTTTGGAGGATACAAATATTAACTCTTTAATAGCAATATCTAATTCTGAGTTTCAATTTTAAATAGGATCTAAGTAGAAGCTTGGTTGTAAAATCTCACGTAAAAGCTACAGGTGACCAGATACTGGGGCTCAGCGTATTCCAAAGTTGCTTAAATGCCTTCGGCAGAAATCAGGATTGATCTTGGAGACTGGAGCAGGGCTGAGACTTATAAGGAGGCCATGAAGGCTGGGAATCCAGCAGGACTTGAGAACAAGGAGTGAGCTGCATGCACAGGAGTCCCGTGTGCTTAAAGCATCATTGAAGTGAGAGTACCAAGATGGTTTAAAAAAACTCTCATGACAGCTTATGGTTGCCTATGTGTAATTCCACGTTTAGAAATTGTGAGAAGGTCTATATGTCATACAATTTTATTGTTACCCATAAAATAGTTCATGATATTTACAACCAATAAAATTTTAAATGTTTTAAACACTTCACATCTAAATAGAATCACAAACACGAAAAAAACACAGACCACATGTTGAAGCCTGTTAATTTGGAGATTGCTCACCCTGAGTGTTAACCTTAAAGCTCGTAGGGGGAGTGATTATTACGATCTAAGATTACTCAACTGAAACTTTTCTTCTATGTCAAGAAGCCACTCTGCTTTCTTGGTACTGGCTGCCTAGAATGTGTTTGAGGAGGATTCTGAGGTCAAGACCATGTGCACAGAGAAAGGGACGTGATAAATCAATGGTGGACGAGAGATAAGAGGATGGAAGCATTTGTGCCAAACTGAGACAACTTCCTCATCCTCACAGCAGCAGGCTCCGCAGGTTCCTCCCAGATCAGAAATAGCAACACCTCCTCAATGCCTCATTCTCGCCAGTTTTTGAGATAGGAATAGCACTGGGTGGTCGCAGGAGAATGGAAAAACCCAAACAACAGCAAAAACAGGAACTAGACAAAGAAATCACAGGATA